AGCGCTGCTGACACTTCATACAGTGTGCTGTTGGGGTTTGGGCAGCTACCCACGAAGCAGCTCGTTGACGTCTTCTTCAATGTGGCAGGCTTTGGTGTTCTTCGTCTTCATCCTGGGAGCTGCCCTCCCCTACTGAGTGGACACATCATCTGCAGCTGGGCTTCGTGAATGGTGCACAGTGGTGTGTTGGATTCAGGAGGGTGTGTCGTGTTTGCAGGCTTGTCAGGTTGGGCGCTGTAAGTGGAAGTGGCGCCATAGCTAGAGCTTGCCGATAGAGGGAGGAAGAATATGACTCCCGGATACTTCGATGAAAGTTTGTAAATGATTGGTCCGTGGATATGTTGATAACGTGCTTGGGATTCTTCGAGACAGGTGCTGTTGATCGACTTGGGGAGGGACAGTAATACGGTAATTAGAATTGATTTTTCAATTCAATTCTATTTTGGGTTTTTGTGTGCTTCTGCTGTGTATTCTCATAATCTGGTGTGGTGTGGATTGCTCTCTCCAAAGGTCACTTGTCATTGCACATGTGTATGAGAGAACGTGTGGATGCCATGTTGGATCTCGTTTAAATCAGGCACATAACAAATACCCAGGGATGCTTTGCGGTCATGCAGCAAAATTCTGCAATGACCCAATGAGAAGACGAACCCTGATCACTGCAACCTCTAGACTTTGACGTGTCCCACCCTCTGTGAACAGCAAGGTGCTGAGAGACACATCAATGTGTCGAGCCTTGAATGTGAGAGGAGCGGTAAAGGGGGAGCTAAAAGAAGAAATAAAAGGCAAAGCACAGAAAAAAAAAAAGACATAGTCAGGAAAGAAAAGAAAGAATTGCACAGAAAAAGGCAATACTTGAAACTTCCGCAAAAGATTTGAAAAGCAGGGTTTCAATCTGCGTAGCACGGCGAACATGTTCATTTCAATGTGTTTCTTTTCATCTTCTATTTCTGTGTTTGATTCACAAAGCGTGCTCTTTTACTTGACACATATGTGACAATATAATATATATATTGTCACATAACTATGAACCATACTTGCGGCGCATCCCGTGCGCGCCACTTGCGCACGTGCGGCGCACTGCTCGTTGCGCACCTGGCGCCCGCACCCTGTGCACCGCATGGGCAAAATTCAGGGTCAGCCAAAAAAAAAAAAAGTTGGGGAGGGCGTGAATCGAAGTTCCCACGCCCAGCCAAAATTAGGACATTGCCCGCGCAAATTTTTTTCAGGGCCGTGCTGCCCCAAAACCTGTGTGTCGTCATGTTCGCTGTACACAACTCCATACTATCTTCAGTGTATCTGAGCCCTTTCAGAGGTCCAATACGGTCATGATGAGGACGCATCTGTGGAACCCTTGCTTATGTCTCATTCCACGTATAGAAAACGACAGAACTGACAGTTGTGTCTCCTTGGTGCTTTCGCTAAGAAAAAAAAAAAAAAAAAAGAGAAAGAGAATGTCCGTGACAAGTTGAAAACCAACAACGTGGCGATGTATCTTTCCATGTTCTAGTTCTAGCGGAAGATTCACTCTCGTTTTGCACATTTCGAGAGTAGTGCAGCGAGGCCCTCTGTCACATGAGGGCTGCAAGTCCAGCTGTAGTCGGGTGCGATGTAAGGGCCTCGCTCCACTAATGCACAAAAGACAAAAAATATGGCGGTGTATCTTTCCATGTTCTAGCGGAAGATTCACTCTCATTTTGCACATTTGGAGAGTGGTGGAGGGAGGCCCCAGGCTACCGTTGTACGACCCTCGCTCCACCACTCTCCAAATGTGCAAAATGAGAGTGAATCTTCCGCTACAAGATGGAAAGATACACCGCCATATTTTAGTCTTTTGTGAATGTGTAGAGCGGTGGAGCGAGGCTGTAACCGTTTCCAAAATAAGACAAACACAAATAAGAAAAAAAAAAGGAAAAGCAACGGCCTATAGGGCTGAACAAAACGCCCTCTGTCGAGAATCAATAGTGTCCGTTGATACAGGCATTTTGTTCGGCTCGATAGTGTCAGGGGAATGATGTCGTGGCACAGCAGACAAACACGCCTGTATCAAGGGCACACACACACACACACACACACACACACACACACACACACACACACACACACAC